GTCCAAGAAAACAAACACTTAAGACAGCAGAAAGATGGAAGGAGCGTGAATCCCTGTTAATACCCTGAAGCCACCATATCAGCCCTAGGTTATCAGCCTCTACAATGAGAGAGAGAAAAATAAGTTGAACCTTATGGAACATGCAGGTAATTGGGATTATCTATCCCATGCAACTGAACCTAATCCTAACTCATATTGGTGGCTACATAAATCTAAAAAGTTGTTTTAGTACCACACCATAATCACAGCTCTGATCTCTACCTCGCCCCTCCTCCCCTGGATTAGGAAGGGGCCATAGTAATGAGAAGTAGCCTCTGTACCTCTTCACTTGGGAAAGGCTACAAGCGAAAGACCACCCTTCTCAAGCTACTAAATCAAATCCATCATTTCAAGCAAGACCACCTATTCAGGGGATTGATACCTTACAGGAGAGGGTGAGGCACGTATGAGTTCATCATTAGGTCTCGGAAAACCCAGCTCACAGCAAGTGAACTCTAAAATGCTTACTTCCCCTTAAGGAAAATTTAAAGGGAAAGATATAGTCTATAGCCATGTGAATTTCAAATAGGTCTACCACGGAGTCTCAAGACCAGAAGCTACATAAGGAGACAATGGGGAGTAAGAATAGAAAATAGTGACTGATCTTTCCAGGTGCTCTTCTCCCCTCGGTTTTGACCGACACTAAAATTTCTGAGATGAGACCTGCACCCATGGGGATGTTTTAGGACATATGCAACTCCAAGGCAAGCAGGAAGTTACCCAACGGCTGGGAGGAGGAGGCTACAGTTCTAGGAGGTGCCAGAATTCAGGCAGATGACTTAACCATATCCACCAGGAGAACGGACTGAGTATTTTCCATTACATCTCCGGCAGCAGAAGCTTCCCTGGTAGTCTCCTCAAAGGAGTGGCTTCACAGCATGCCCACCTCGGCTGCATTTCCAGTCCAGGGTCCTAAGAGGACACCCCTCCAACACACAAGGGATTCTCAAGGGCTCCCTTGGCTTCCCACTTGCCATCTACCCATTCTGATTTCATAGACTCAACAGACACATCCACACCCCAACCTTGGCACTCCACAGTCCTCACTTTACTCCCCAAACCTCTTGGCAGGGATTTACCCCAAAGGGCCAGAATTTAAAGTTTTCCACTCACTTCCCAACTCGGGAGGATTCATTCTCTAAGGACATCCAAATGGGAAGGGAAAGTCATCTTTTAGGATCTCAGAGGCTGGATTTTGGTGAGAAAGTTTTTAAATTGCTGTCCATTATTAACGTTAAACTCACAGCAGTCAGCCCTGAGATCCGCAATTATAACAATTCATAAAAACAGCCCCTTTGTTAGTTGCACTTGAAGAGCTTTTGAAATGTAATTGCAACGTGGTGCAAAGTAAAATAAAAATTCAGATTTTCTTTTACCGAGGCCATGAACAATACTGTCCTTTTTACAGCAGCGGAAAGCCTCAAGACATCCGTTATATTCCTTCAATGAGCTTTGTTCAATAAATGCTAAGCCTTGAAGCTTTTAAATGTATTAAAGTGATTATGATATCATCACTCCAAAGGCACTTCAATAGAACATTAAGACAGAAACAATTTTCTTCCACACAAACGGCATAACAGTAACAAAAAGTTGATTAAATGCACATTGTATCAAAAATATTTTCAGTATTTATAGACATATGTAGATAACATTAACTGTAACCCACACCATGGGCAGGGTGGAGAAGAGTAAATAATAAAACCATTGGCGGGGAAAGGGAGCAAATTTTAATAATAAATCTTCAAAACTTAAGAAACTGTAGCTTGACTGTGACTTTGCTTTTGGATTTACAGGCAAAGTCACACTACATAAAGGAGAATAAGTCTCAAAATTAAAAAGAAAGGGGAACAAGTCCGTGTTTGCTATTCTAATAAGCCCAAATATGTTCCGCACTCACAGAGGCCGTACTTCTGTAAATGCCCACATGTGACTGGCAGGAAAGGTAAGTCTATTTACTTGCAACGTCACCTAACATGCTGCCAGCAGGTGAGGACTCTGCAAGGGGCAGAGGCCTAACGTGTCCAACCAGGAGGTGTGGAGAGGGTAGGAAGGAGGCCAAGAGGTGGGTTCAGAGCAAAACGACAAGATGTAAGATTCCCTTTGTTGCAGGCTCATTACGGAATGCTCTTAGCACAGATGAGGGGATTATGAATTCACATGTGAATTTATCCCCTATTAAACTTTCAGCAAAAGGGTCAGTTGGCTGGAATAGCAAAGCCAAGGCACCGTGGTCACATGCCAAGGTAGCAACAACTTGTAGGCTCTCCTGACACATGAAAGTAAAAAAAAAAAAAAAAAAAAAAAGCGAGAGAGAGATGTTTTAGCCCTTTGAGTGCATACAGATTAGCATTTCCATCTGTGGGTTCAGTTCTGTGTCCTGCTATTTTGTTCAACTTTATCTTGAAAGCATGTTCCCAAGCCATTTAAAACCTGATGTACTCTTTCTAATGGGTGTACCATAGGGTGTTTGGTGGTTATTTTTTCTAGTAGCTACTTAGGTAGTAAGGATATCTATCCTATGCTTGTCATATTTTGTTCAGTTTTTTACCATCAGAGTTGTTTTTGCCTCGTAAGTTTGTTTATGGGGTAGGGTGTTTTTAAAATAAGGTGAAGGACTCTAACATCTTAAAATCAAGGAGAAAAGTATTCTAAGGACCCAAGGGTGGGAGGTGGGAGGTGGGAGGTGGGGGTGGGGAGGGAGTCTGCCAAGAAGAAGAAAAACTCTGAAACCAGTTAAACCAAATCCCTACACATAACCCAGTACCCTTCAATTTGTCTTGCCCCCTAGGCCAAAAGAAGAGCATGTTTCTCACTGGAAAACACTCTATAAAGAATGCGAACTCCACAAGAAAAGCCACAGACAAGGCCTTTTATTACCCAACTTGGGGCCCTTGTGATTTTCTTTATGGGGAGAGTATCCTTGTCCATCACTTCAAGCATTGCTCCCTAGCCCTGGCAGCTTCTTAAACCAGCCCAGAGAAAGGAAAACATAACAAAGGGCCAAGAAAAATGGAAAATAAAGACCATACAGTGGGTGACAAGTTCCCCCACTCAAGCAACTAACCAGTGCCGTGGGCCAGAATTGATTTTCTATACGACATCAGAAAGGATTACCTCTCCCCTACACTCCTGCCCAGGGGGATGGAGTAGAAATCATAATTAATTCAGGCAAATTGAATTCTGTGAGTCCAAGTGACAAATACTTTCCTTACAATATGAAGCACAGTCTCAAAACATCTTAGAACAGTCGGTGGGAGCACAAGCAACACATTCAGTGCAATAAGGCACGAAGCTGCACAAGAAAACGTGTGCGACCAAATAATAATTTTTCCAAGTCAGGAAAGAATATTCTTAAAAAAAAAAAAAATTCAAACTTCAAAGAACATGCATTCCCATTAGTAACGTTGACTCTCCTTCCCTCCTGGTGATATGGGGGCGGGGGGGGCAGAAGGAAGGGGAGTGGAGGTCAATTTCATTCCTTGACTATCTTAGTCCATGAGGTCAACAAAAATATTCTGTGTGTTAGAGGGAAATGTATTATTGTGCTCCTGATGCAAGGAATGAGATGGGAGAGGTTGCTTCCATAGCCAATGTGACCTAAACCCCCAAGAATCTAAAAATACTATTACAGTCAATTACAAATCAGCCACATCATCAGAAGAGACTTAGCGACACCCATATTTCCAAACAGATAGTCGCATCACAATTACTTTTTCCACGTGAGTTTTGTTTTGTTTTGTTTTTGTAGCTTCAGAGTTTATGCCATCGGATAGCAGGGTTATAGAGAGAGGAGAACACTGAATCAAGAGACAGGCATCCCTGGGGTGCCTGGGTGGCTCAGTCGTTAAGCCTCTGCCTTCGGCTCAGGTCATGATCCCAGGGTCCTGGGATCAAGCCCCACACCGGGCTCCCTACTCTGTGGGAAGCCGGCTCCTCCCTCTCCCACTCCCCCTGCTTGTGTTCCGTCTCTCGCTGTCTTTCTCTGTCAAATAAATAAATAAAATCTTAAAAAAAAAAAAAAAAAAGAGGCAGGCATCCCAACATCTACTACCAACTCTGGCACTAAATGATCAGAGGACTCGGGCCAATTAACACTTCCCTCCGGCCCTGAGGCTCCTTTTCTCTAAATCAAAATGGTTCACTTACAGGTTTCCATATGTTCTTTTCAATCATAATATTCTACAACTTTGGGATTATTTTCCTCTTCCTAAAGAAATCATGCTTAGAATTACATCTACATGAGTTTCTATCCCTTGACCCTAAGAGCTGGGCAGGAGAAGGCACTGAGTAAAAAAAGAGGACATTCTGGAATTCACAGAGGGTCATCCCCAAAGTGGAAAATCAGAAATTGACTAGATGTGTGTATCATACAGATGCATACACAAGCACGCAGCTTCTTGGCCAAAACACTTCTCAACCATTACGTATTTGTTAAGAGTTATTAAGTGCCCATTAGACAATGCTTCTGTTTAGCTAACTGCATGTGATCAGAAAATGTGATAAGAGCATGGTTGATAACATGCACAGTCTTTGGCATCAGATGACTTATGAATACTCTCCCTCTTCGGGCAAACCGATATAACCTCTCTGAGCCAGTTTCCTCAGCTAGAAAAGGAGAAAGAATACGTTGCTCATGGGATTCTCGTGAGACTCAAGACAATCCACATAAAGCAGACAGTAATTCCTATCATCACTATTATTTACCACTATTACTTCTATTAATATCCCATTAGGTTGCCGTAAAAGTTTAAGAACATGTATTAAGAACTTAGCAAAAAAAATAAACAAATTAAAAAAAAAAAAAAAACTTAGCAGCCCCAGTCAGTGAGCCACCACCAAGGACTCAGCAGTCTCCTGCTTAAGTCCCCTTGCTTTCCAACACTCCATCCTCCCCCCACTAACCCCCCCCTTCTCCCACCGCCACCTTCTGCAGGCCATTTCTACGGAGGAAAAGAAATCATATGTCTGCTAGCCAGAAACTCCAATCTTTCGACCCTTTTGCTGATGCAAGTAAGGGTGACCATCTGCTTCCTACTGGCACTGAGGATTACACCCATATAACAATTCAACAGAGAAACAGCAGGAAGACCCTTACCACTGTCCAAGGGATCACCGATGATTACGATAAAAAGAAACTAGTGAAGGTGTTTAAGAAGAAATTTGCCTGCCATGGTGCTCTAACTGAGCATCTAGAATATGGAGAAGTAATTCAGCTACAGGGTGACCAGCACAAGAACACATGCCAGTTCGTGGTAGAGACTGGACTGGCTAAAGACGACCAGCTGAATGGAGTTTCATGGGCTTTAAGTGCTTTCGGCTTCACTGAAGCTTAAGTGAGGATTTCCTTGCGATGAATACAATTTCCCTTCTGTCCCTTGTCACGAGTTTAAAAATCTCACAGCTTGTATAATGTAACCATTTGGGGTCCGCTTTTAACTTGGACTAGTGTAATTCCTTCATGCAATAAATGGAAAAGAGCCATGCTGTCTAGTCTTGAAGTCCCTCATTTAAACAGAGGTCAAGCAGCAGGCGCCCGGCAGTGTCTGGCCTGAAACCAAGCAGGAACATGAGGTTTCGGTCCAGCCCAGGGGCCCCAAGATCACAGAAGGCTATGTCTGGCCAGAAGATCCTCAGCTCTCCCTCTTCAGAATTCCCTGCCCTAAGAGAATGCCACCACCTGAACAGCCCATGGTGAAGCTGAGAGGACAAGACGGGGTCAGACAGCAACCACAGCTGTGCTGCTACAAGGGAGTCAGTGGTACTCAAAGATCAATCCCTGGTGTCTCCAACCTGACCAGGTGGGCAGAGCTTAGAGCGGCCACCTTCCCTCTAGGGAGCCATGACAGGACATCTCCCGTGCCACCAAGGTCTTTTTGAGCTAATGTACCCTAGCTAATCAATGTCCAAACACCAGAATGTGAGGCCAACCTTCTGAGTTAAACTTTTGACAAGGGAACAAACTTCAGACTGATGTGTCAGTCATGTAGCTAGCTGCAGAGCGTGTGACTTACTAGCGACAGCTGCCCAATGCCATTAGAAGTAACTCACTGGTTTCTGGCTTATTTTTTTCCCTCAGTTTTAATGTTATGTAATGTATTTAAATGCTTATTTAAATAAAACTTGTTTTCAGGAGAAAAAAAAAAAGAATTTAACACCAGTACCTGGTACACAGTAAAATCTAAGAAAGGTTGCCCATACTCTAATCTATTAGACTCATCTACATAGTATTATGTTATCAGATAAGCTTGTAGCATTTCTCTTTAGTCCAATACCCTTGTTTTCCCCTCAAAGACAATTTCCAATGGAATAGTTCTAGCACTCAGGCCCCTGCAGACACAAAACACAAAACCCCATCAAACTAATGCTTCTTGGTGGTAACAGGCTTGGTGAGAAGAACCAAGTAGTACAGACTGACTTATGTTCCTCTTCTGAAAAGTGAGAAGGCCACAGCCAATGAGCTCAGTTACCCATCTAACTCTGGCTTTGCACAACCCTACCTGTCAGTCATTCCCAAGGGTGGGCGGCACCCACAGCCCAGCATCCTCTCTCCTGCAAGTCTGAGTGATGACACCAATAACCAACCTGAAATTCCATATCCACCTGCAAGAACTTGTGGGAGATCATTACCAAAACTGGAGCTGAATCCATTTTCTGGGCGTGGCCCAATTTTGTTCCTATTAAACAATGGGTGGAGGTTTCTGGGTATCAATTCCCAGATGTAAGGGTTTCTCTGCTACGTCTTTAGTTTCCACTTACAACAATACTCAGTAACAATCATTTGATTTCATCCTCTACCAATGAAATTCCTTGTTTGTTTTTCCTGAAAGTTCAAAGGGACTGGCATAGAAAGTTCTACTACAATGGGTGAGACTGCTGCGAATTAAGATGTCCTAACCATTTACCCCATGTTTGAGGCAGTTCAATAAAGAGGTTCTTCCACATTAAACAAGTAAGCCTGACTCGCTCCTTTGGCTCCAACTCATGTAATTTATCTTTCTGGGAAAGGTGCACAAGACCTCAGAGAGTCATGTAAGGATTCATGTGAGAACTGAGAAAATACAGGACTGTAGTCACAGTCTGCTAATTTCTGCTGGTTTCTAAGAGGGTAAAGAAAAATGTACGTCATGGGTTAAGGGGGTTCCAGGTCTTTCAATGGGATAAATTACCATGTCCCCAGGTAACAAGGCAGATGGCAGTTCACCATCTCCAGTGGGTGCCCCTCTTTCCTGCAGACCCCCCAGCCCACAGTTCTGCTGCTTCCTGAAGGGTACTGCTGCTGACTCTGGACCTTTAAATAGAAGCATATTCTAGAATCATGGAGACAATGGCAAGACACTGGCCATCTCATGCCTGCCACTTGCTTACTCAGTGCCTGACAAGTGAGTCTCAAAAAAAAAAAAAAAATTAACGGGCAAGAGAGGAGAAATGAAGATGACACCAACGCTAACTTTTTATCCCCATTATTTAGTTACTTTATTAGAGTTTTCCTAACTCCTCTGCACAAAGGGAAGGGTAAGCTATAGAAAACTAAGGGGCTTTGTCATCAAAAGCCTTCTCCACACAGGCACACAAACACCTGTCAGTGCACAAGATGCCTCTTTATCAAGTCTTCATACCTACCAGGAGCCAAGTACACTCCGAGATTTCAGACTATTTTCTTCCAATGTTTTGAAGTCCCTTTCAGTTCACATGAAGGCTAACGATTTCAAAAAGGTGGGGAAAGGAAAGAGTTCCTAAAAAAACAAACAAACCCACAAGAAAGAAAAAGGAAAAGATATTGCGCCATGATTATGAAGTCCTAAAAGCCTTTTAGCTGACAGCATAGGCTTTGTTGAATAGCCTCGAAGAACCTCCACCGAAAGACACAAGACAGCAATAAAATAAAGGCAGAGCATCCACAGGTTAGCAACCCCCGCCTCCCAAATTCAGATCGCCCATTTTAGAGCAGAAGTCCGATTTCTGCCCCAACGGCCCTTTGGAACACCCAAGGTCCAGTGTGGCATTAGACAAGTGCAACCAAATGATCCATCATTTTCTGCCAACAGAGAAATTAGTTGGAACCAAGTTCTCAGCACAAACCTGCAGTTCAAACCAGAACTTCAAAAGCAGCCCAAGTGCCTCCAAGCCTCCAAGTGCCCCATGCCCCAAGTCCGTCCATCCACTCATGATGCTCTGTCCTCAGTTTCTACACTGAGCGATGACTGCCAAGCTAACCAAGTCTGCTACTCCAAAAGCCTGCCCCATTCGGCAGAGTTCAGACCGCTCACAGACACTTAGCACTAGGGTGTTCAGAGCGCTCACATGGGATAGCCCTGGCTTACGGAGCGCTGGGGTCAGAGCTACACAAAACCTACCTGTTATCATTTCAGCAGCCAGTGTACTTCCTGCCATTCTGCCCTGACCTGCTGTAAGTAAACAGAGAGTGAGGGCTGAGAAGAAGAAACCACAGCCAAGATTACACTGAATTAAGTTCACACGTCTCCCACACATCCCAACAGGAAAGCACGATTTCAGTAGCACGTGTGGTATTTGGCTTGTGTGTGTGAAAGACCAGCTTCTGAGTGATGGAGCACTCACCCTGACTTCAGACATACCTTTTCTCTTAAACTATTACACTTGGAGAGCTTCAAGCCCCTGCTCCAGACCCATCCATCTAACAACAGAAAGCACTTCTCAAGCTCCTTTCTGACACAAGCCCATCATTCACCATTTGCTGGTATGCACAGTTTTTGCTGACAAAGCTCCATTACTAGAAAAAGCTCAGTAAGTAAAGCTGATTTGAAATAACAATATATTATAGGGAGGCTGGGTGAAGAAAACGGATTTGGAGTCTAGAAAATCATCATATAAAGAGGCTCTAGAAAGAACTGCTTAATTATTTAAATACTTTCACTTCCTACAGACCATACATCATTTGATTTATCATCAGTGCTCAATATTTGGTAATTTACTGGGGTCATCTGACAAAACAACTCCAGATAGCATGTACATATCAGACACTGTAATTCTTCGGTTGAAATGTCTACATATCCCTGATTAATGTTCAAATACTAAGCTAATGCAATCAGACTGAGGTGTGTGCCAATTCCAGCTCTCCAGTGAAGATACAAAGCTGAGAGCACGCCAGGAGGGCACCCTGAAGAGCCCGTTGCCCTGTGTTGTCCTCCGTTGTTGCAAGGTAGACTTATAACATGGTGGGATGCCTGTCCGTAAGTCAGCTGAACAGAGACCACTAGTCCCACGTGACTCCCTGCCTGATTCAACTGCTGTAGCAAGTCAGGAGACCAAGACCTTGGGAGGAGGGTGTGCGCCTTCTCCCCACATGCCAGGTTCATCCTGAGCCCAGCTCTGCTCGTGCTGTACCACGCCCAAAATGCATCATTACAGACTCCCCACCTCCTACTTGCTCTTCAAGATCCATCCCCTGCATAAAGCTTTTCTTCCTTAGCCCAGCTCAAAATGCTCTCTCCAGTCTTTCAACGCTTCCTTACCAGTATTTTTTTGGAGTCGAATTGTCTCCTCAATAAGTTCAAGGAAGAATCTACATCTTCTCGTTATCCTCTGGAGTTCTTAGTGGGATCATGAATAAATGCAACTCTAAGTTTCAGGCCACGGCAAGTCACATGGGTCAAAAATAAGGAATACAAGAAGCCTAGATCAATTCATAAAGAAATCCAATCAATCGGGGTGCCTGGGTGGCTCAGTGGGTTAAGGCCTCTGCCTTTGGCCCAGGACCCTCAGGATCCCAGGGTCCTGGGATCAAGCCCTGCATCAGGCTCTCTGCTCAGCAGGGAGCCTGCTTCCTCCTCTCTCTCTGCCTACCTCTCTGACTACTTGTGATCTCTCTGTCAAATAAATAAATAAAATCTAAAAAAAAAAAAAAAGAAATTCAATCAATCGATTTCTAATTCTGTAACTTAAAAACAGAGATAGAACTTTTTGAAGTGCTTATTTACTAAACTTGATCGTATGCTAGGTCACAAAAAGGACCTACAATTCCAAGAAACAGTATAGACCACGTGACCATAATCCCTGACCACATTTCACAAAAATTTTAAAACCTTAAATTTTTATGACAAGAGAAACATCAAGATCCCAAAATATCTAGAAAATAAAAATATAAGACATTGTGTATTAGAATCTATAGGACACAATTTATAAAGTGCTCAGAAAAAAAAATCCTACCTTTAAGCAGTATAGTTCCAAAGAGGGTAAAGTGCTTATGTGTGCAGCCCAAATACAAAGAACAAAATAAGCAGAAATATTGGTAGGTATATAGAGAGTAGTAACAGGAAAACAGTGGCACTAATAAATACAAGACTGTTAATGTAATAAGCTACCAAAACAATAATTAAGGGGAAGAAAATAGAAAGTATATAGTCAACACATACATATGAGGGGTGTCTAAGTGGCTCTCTTGGTTAAGCATCTGCCTTCTGGTCATGTCATGATCAGGATCCTTGCTCAGCAGGGAGTTTGTTTCTCCCTCTGCCTCTGCCTGCCACTCCCGCTGCTTGTGTTCTTTTGCTCTTGTTCTCTTGCTCTCTGTGTCAAATAAAGAAAATCCTTAAAAAAAAAAAAAAATGCGTATGATGGCAGGTGAGTGCTCCCTGACCCAAT